GAAGTTCTTCTTATCTGTCTGAAATTTGAAAAGCTCAAGTGCAGAGCTCAACAACTGAACACTTTTAGGAAAGACAGTAACCCTCTAGTGAATGCCTATGTAAGTTATCTTCCAAAAATGCTTTCACAAAGCAGTATTGAGAAATACTGGAAGATGCAATAAGAGAATCAATGTATGTACATATTCTTAAACAATATTTTATGAATTATTAAGTCAATTTCATTATCAACATTGCACACAGCAAATAAAACAAGTACTGTATATTTCAACAGGGGCTGGGGAACTCTTGTTCAGCCTAAGTGTCAGGATGGCTTCAGGCATAAATAGCATGCCAAGAGTAGGCAAGGCTACTGCACCGCTGGACAGAGCCCCCTTCACATACTTTTTCTCTCTCTTTCTTACACATACCACTCACTTTTCCAAATAGGACTGGGGCATTTGTGGGCTACTGTATCAAGGCTGGGGAATTTTAGGAGGTGTCATCTAAAAAAGTAAATTTTCAAAGTTTTGGGTGAGGATTGAGCAAACCCGACTGGACCACCATCTCAAGGCACCAAGACGGTTCTTATAGCATCCATTCAGCTAGAAGCTGGGAAGCTCTCTGACGCACACCTCAGTAAACCTCAGGGCCAAGAAACCTCTGGAACAGATTTCTGCTGCTGTGGAAAGCAAAAAGTGGGATGGGAAAGTGCTTCTTCCCTTGTCATCGGGTGAACTGATTAATCTTGGCCCATAAGCCCAGGCAAGTCCTCCTACTCAACTGGGTTGTGAACTGAGGTTGCCTGCAAAGGGATATCATAGCAGAGTCAAATATTGCAACACTCTAGGCTGGCCTAAACTGATTTACAAGTACAAAAAAGACTAGGCTGGGAATAAGTGGAACAGCTACATTTCTACTTAATAAGCAAAGACATGAAGAAACTTTGGAAGGACACAAGGAGCTCCTTTGCACCTACTAGAGACTAACTAGTAAGTCTACAATTAACATTAATTTCTCCTAATTCCCTCTTTCTGTAACTACTGTAGTGCCAATTATTTCACCAATCTTATTAACCCATTGTGGCGCCGGGCTTTTATGCTGGCCAGATTTAATATTTTTCCCTCTGCTGTTCTTTTTGGCAGATATTGTAAGATCTCCTTTAAGAACCATCGGTATAAGCATTATTTAATATTTTTCCCTCTGCTGTTCTTTTCAGCAGATATTGTAAGATCCCCTTTAAGAACCATTGGTGTAAGCATTGCTTAGTGGAACCGGACTCAATCCCACATATTCTTCTTCACTGCCCTAAATTTAGTGAGCCCCGTCAGTCACTACTTAGCTCTATTTCAGTTTTTTCTGGCTCCCCTGAGAGGTTAATCCAAATGATGTTAGCAGGTAAACAACCTGAATTGACTGATCATGTAGCTGAATATCTTGCTATTGTAATGAACTAAGCTGACTGCGCCAAGGAGCCTTGACGGAACTTGACCATACTGTACAGGTATTTTTCTTACTGTAGTTGAAAGCAGAATCTTGATTGTATGATTACTGGGTTTTAATGCCAATAAAGGTTTTAATAATATTAATAACATTAATTTCCCATAAATACAAGGTGGAAAGTTATAGTAAGTCATTTAGAACCAATCCAGCTTATTAAGCAACTTCAAAATATGCATTCATATCCTGGCTTGTTATGAAGCAGAAACTACAGATAACTGGGCTTCATCACTTCTTTGTTCACTCATACAAATAATAACAATTATGTGCCATCTAGTTGACTTATGGAAATGGCTGCCACTGCCAGCCAGTTCACCTGCTGAACAAGCACGTCCTGCAGCAGACAAAGGGCTCTCTTGCCCTGCCAAAGGCTTAAGGTGTTTTAAAATGGTGCCCAATGTGCAGCAATACAAAGGGCTCTCTTGCCCTGCCAAAGGCTTGTTTTAAAATGGTGCCTAATGTGCAGCAATGTATGTGCCATGTGAAGCAACAGTAGTCTGTTCACATTGACACCAGTATGAGGCAAACATGTTGTTCCAGCCATACGGTATTCAGAAATGGTTTACCAGTCCCTTATTCTTCAAGCACTCTGGGACCATGTCGGTTGCCCAAAGCCACACAGGCTGGCTCTTCTCCCAGGGGGCACAGTGGCTGAATCGAACTTCCAGGGCAGTTATTCTGACCCACTGACCTATCCATCCAGCTTCGCTCATACTAAGGGAGGATTTATCAAGCAAGTGCCACATATGCACAGAATAAGACATTGGCAGTGTTCAAATATAGGTACTGTATAATGATAAAGCACTGATGCACAGAATAAGACATTGGCAGTGTTCAGATATAGGTATAATGATAAAGCACCATTTAAAGTTGGTTTATTTCAAACAAGTTTTAAGTTAAGTTTAAGTTTATCCATTAACTGAAATGTGACTAATGAAAAGCACAAAACCATACTGGAAGACTGGAAGGGGAAGATACAGCAACAGTTGATGGGCCATGGGTTTGTCATTCCTTTCATTGGCACCCTGCCCTCCTTAAGCCACTCTGAGTGTGGCATTCTGGAACCACAAAATCACAGTAAGTTGAGACAGAGTAGTTGGCTCAAAGTCGCCCAGCCAACTTCATAGGTAAGAATGGACAGTCAGATCCACACCCAACACTTTAGCCACATGCTTTGATATGTAAGTTGGCAATATTTTCTAAAAGCGCAGTTAAAGAAGCCAAGAGAGAGGGGGTATCCAAATATCAAGCAGTAACCTTCCCTGTGGCTTAAAGGAACACAAATCAGCACCATGCTTTGATATGTAAGTTGGCAATATTTACTAAAAGTGCAGTTAAGGAAGCCAAAGGAACCATAGTTAAGGAAGCCAAGAGAGAGGGGGGGTATCCAAATATCAAGCAGAAACCTTCCCTGTGGCTTAAAGGAACACAATTCAGCAAATTTGACAAAGTAAAGCAACTTAGGGTCTGACCCATGCCTAGATGGCAGGATGCTTGGAGACCCTGAGCTCCACTGAAGAATGCTGGGGTACATCAATAGGTCACCCCTGGCACTGTTTCTGGTCTCTTCCCATCATAAGCAGTAGCAATTTTGCACAGTGTTGTATACACAGGGTGCAGATTTCAGCTTTTCTTGCTTATGTTTGCTCTAAGGAGTGGGCACACAGCTCTCCCCCCCCCCACAAAGCTTAAGAAAGAAAGGGGGGAGGGAGAGACCTCCTCCTCCTCCTCCCACCCCAAAAGCTGAGGATAATTTTGAAATAAGAATGACACCACATGATGAGTAGCTTCATCTCCCCTTCTGTATCTGGGGGAAAAATTGTTCCAATAACCTGAAACCCACTTGGGGGAGTGGAACAAATGCAAAATGTATCTACCCCATGGAAAATCAAGTTTCTCTCACACCATTGCTCTAAAATTATTGTGCATCACCAGCTAAAGAATGAACTCTACCAGAAGTTCCATTCTTAACAGTTATATCAAATGGGCATTGTTAGATCTATCATAACAACCTGTGGCAATACGTTTCATTCCTAGATGATGTACTTTACATAAAGTACTCCCTTTTGTCCTCTGTTCCTTGCCAGCCAATTTTGCTGGATGACCCGCAACTTCTAAAATTCGAGGAGGCAGCAATTATTTATCAGTAGAAATCTGAAATATAGATACCACTACAGATACCAAGCGATATTCATATCTTGTAGAGACTTGCTGTCTACAGTGCTACAATATGTGCATAGGGGAAATTCTAAGATATGGGAAATGTGGAATGCACAGTGCCAGGTAACTAGGGAAAGACATGCTTTAAGAGGCAGTGATTTGCAAGGTGGGGATTGGAGAGACCACTTTCTTTCAGTTTCCAACATCTCTGGGTTAGAATGCAATTCCTAAGCACAAGAAAGATGTACTCTTAGAAATGGGCTATTATACTGCATACTGTAGCTCAAAAGCTAAACATTCTGAATAAAGCAATGAAAACAAATACAATAATATTCATTCCTCCTCAAATTCCAAACAGAAAATTGCATTTACTTGGGTATCTGTAAAATCGGTCAAACTGCATTCATTCATGATTATATTATGTTAAACATTTAATTTACCTGACAAGTAAGATTTTTCTGTCATATATCTATTCCTGAGCACCAATAGATTTGACTTATCATTGCATACATGTTGTGGAACTGTATGCATTTTAGAGATAGAAAGTGCTTCAGCTGACAGATTTTTCAGTAAAGCAGCTAAAGAAATTGTTGATCAATGACAGCCCAGTAATTTCCGTCACTTCAGCAGGAGTATAAGAATCAATCTCTGTCCAACCACACCTAGACCTATTAAGACCTCAACTGTAGAAGTCCCCTCAGCAAGTTCTACTTATTCTTCTTTTTAATGGTTAAGGTTCCAAAATGAGGAAACAGAATGTAAAGCTAGAGTGGCCAAACTCTCTGATATGTTGGCAGACCAGTCTAATCTGTAATAAGAGGCAGTGCTACTCTGATGAACACAACAATGAATGCACAGCCTTCCACGCCTTGCTACAGCTTTGCTCAGGTCTAGCAGAACTGAGGAGTAAGCAGTCACACTGCAGGCAGACCGATGGGTCCTCTTGTTCTTGCCCAAGACTCTACTATACCTCCCTCCTCTCTGACTGGGAGTATTTATTGCACAGCCTGGTGACCTGTCCTCTTATGCAGCCGTCCCCAATCTGATCCATTTGGGATGTTTTAGACTCCAAAGCCAAAAATCCCCAGACTTGTGTGAACTGCACCCAGCTGGGGAAGGCTGCTATTTTGTACAGCTCTCATCATGACGTTGCCTGGCACTTGGGCCATATCTCCCTTCAAGTAGAGAGCAGTGGCTGTTGCCCTTGTGCGTTTTCCTGAAAATAGAGAATGGCACTGATGTCATTACAAGGCAAAGCCACTTACTGTTAATTTGAGAGTCCAGGGCAAAATTAAGTCAGTTGGTGACAGAGAGGAGAGAGAGAAAGGCACTATTTAAAGATATGGAACCCTTTCCACATTACCTGCTGAAACATTAACAAACACACATGAATCTACACCATCCTCCTCTGGAAGAGAGTCACACGATATGGGAAGGTGCCCCTCTTTCAGATGAATCCAACACAGATCTTTCAAGGCCTCACAAAATCCCCGGCACGGTGGCGGTGTTATTGGAAGAGAAGCATTGCACCCAGGTACCAGCAGCAAGCAGAAAAACCACTCCAAGTAGCGGTGACACCGAGATTTAAGAAGCCCCTCCCACTCATGCAAAGCAGCCCGAATTTCCTCCTCACTGCCCTGATGCAAATAATTCGGCACTCGGAAATGCTTCATGCCCAGGGTGTTGCAATACGACAGCTTGGTCGGTAAGGGCAAGCAGTGGCCAGCTGTTGGCTTCAATCCAGGAAAGAAGGAAGGAAACCCTGTGCTATTATTGCTAAAATGTTGCATAGTGTAGGTTAGTAGAAACTCAAGAGAGTCAGAGTTATTGGCAGAGGAGAAATCCACAAAATTAGTTGCATTCGAATTAGAAACAGAATCACCAGGTGTATCAGCTACTACTATCCCAGAATGCTTAAAGAAGGAAGGATCTTTAAGGCGGAGGTGGATTCTGTCACCCTTAGAGAGTGATCGGTCTGAATCTGCAACATAACGGGACAGCCAGTGGTCTAAAGCACCCACCACCTTGGATGGCATTCCACCATGCATGCGGCTGCTATCAGCCTGAGGCTTGTGCAATTCCAAGATATCTGCACTGGACAAAATTCCTTCGTTTCCTGAGTCAGGTCCCCAGGCTGCCCTGGTTGCTGGGACAGCGGTCGCACCTTCTTGGCCCGCCTCTGTAGTTTCTTGAAAAGCCAACATGGTGCCCGTGATATGATTGCTGGACGAAAATGAGAAAGAAGCACTACCTGCGAGCGGTGCATCAGGCTTCTGTAAGAGGAGGCGCGTCTTGTTCCACAGAAGAGCAGGCTTTGGAATTACAGAGCGAATATGCTCCGGCGGCTGATTTTCCAACGAGGTTTGCCCATCAGCTCTGGAGCTGGAAGAGACGTTCTGGAGGCTCACCAGCTCAGTATCTGGGATCAGGGATGCTTCCAAAAGGTCAGTGGTTGCAGGTGTCTCTGTCTTCTCTGTTCCCTCTGCTGTTTTTTCATCCCAGTGCTGAACCAAGTTGCTGATCTCTTCAGCTACGTTGAGGATCTCGGTCCCTACTCCTGCAATACTTCCTTCCCTGTTTTCCAGCGGAGTGGGAGATGCAGCTGTAGATATGATGGTAGCTGGAGTGAAATCAGGTCTCTTCAGGGTGAAGATAGTCCACACTCTTCCTTTTGGCTGAGCAGTAGTACTTTCCAGGGGGCTGCTTGGAGTAGCTGTACCCTCAGGCGTGACAAGACGCAGAGCTGTCTCCTCCGTCTGAGTCAACTGCTCGTCAAGATTGGCAACTGTGGTAGGAGGAGAAAGGGTTGTTTTCTTTGAAGACCCCCAAAGCCAGCTCCAGCCCTGTGTGTTAGATAAGCCACAGCAGGTCAGCAGCAACAGGAGCCCAAGATTGAGCTCAGCTGGAGCCATTAAAAAGCTGCTTTGGGGGAATGTTCTGAGTAGCAGTGCAGGGGAATGGAAGAATCCACATTGATCTGTCCTCTGGAGCTCTGGGCTTAGGAAACATACAGCTCTCTTCCAAGCAGATATAAAACTTGCAGGGGTGTGGCTAACAGAGTCCTCCCCTCCAGCAGCTTGCTTCCCACTAAAATCAGAAACTTAACTGCACAGTCTGTAATGTTCTCAACCGCAACAGAGGGGCTGCATGTTACAAACATACCTGAAGANGAAACACATACCCGGAAGACATCCACTCTGACAACTGCTGTACAATTTTAGCATTTTGCTGTTTTTCCTGCCCCTGGAGCTCATAAAAATATTTGGGCACATTAAACTCCTCCCTGCCCTGAGCCAATATTAAGACAAGGCAGAGATCTTTTCCTTTAGGTTTATAACCTAATTTTCAAAATCATTAACATCAGCAATGAAACCGCAGGCACTTTCCTTTAGAGAAATCATTTCAAACAGAACAGAAACAAACCAGAAATACTGCAGGGTAGTAAATATACTCCAAGCCATGCAACAGCCCCAGAAAGGGCCCGTGTTTAACTGATTTATCATTCAGTAGGCTGCATCCTTCCACATCTTGTTAAATTGTCAAGATGGGAATGATTCAAATAAAACTAAATGCTTTTCATCTAAAATGCTCTAGTGATATAACTGGCATTAGATATACAGTATGCTTAAAATCTCTGCCACTCAAATTAACAGGACTCTGAAGTGCTAATATTTGCATCCTCAATTATGACATAAAAGCCATAGGGGAGGCTGTCTGCCCTTTTGCAAATAAAGACCTTCTGCCCCATAAGAAAAGCTGCACTAGACTGACAACTCTTTCCTAGATATCTGTAACAATGTCATTGTGTGCTGTTAAGTCAGTTTTGACTTACACAGATCCTTTCCAGCGGTTTCTAAGTTGTTCAGAAATGGTTTACCTGTTCCTTCTAGATCTGTAACAATGTCATTGTGTGCTGTTAAATCAGTTCTGACTTACACCGATCCTTTCCAGTGGTTTCTAAGTGGTTCAGAAATGGTTTACATGTTCCTTCTAGTGGGGGCACCCTGGGATTGTGCACCTTGCCCAAGGTCACACAGGCTGGCTATTCTGGGGTGCACCTTGCCCAAGGTCACACTGGCTGGCTATTCTGGAGTGTACAGTGGGAAATCAAACTCTCAACCTCTAGCTCCACAGCCAGATACCTAACTCACTGAACTATCCAACCAGCTTTACTCAGCATTAAACTGCAATCTTATGCACAGTGATTGCTGAAAACCTGAACAAAATCAGGCAATTCAAATCAAAGGAACAGAAGAAAAGTTTTGGAAAGTTACTTAGAGTGGTGACAGAAGGGAAGGTGCTCAGATGATGAAGTAGTTCAATACTACTTAACTACGCAGTGTCAAATCAATTCTAACTTATGGCAACCCCTTCCAGGGTTTTCTAGATATGGGGTGCTCAGAAATGGTTTACCATTCTTTTCTTCTGGGGGTGTCCTGGGACTGTGCAGCTTGCTCAAGGCTACACAGGTTTGCTTTTCTTTCAGGAGGCACACTGGGGAATCAAACTCTCCACTATCTAACTCACTAAGCTATCCAGCCAAATACTACACAAAAGCAAACTTTGTCTTAGTCTAGGCCAAAGCTTGGAAACACTATTTCACTAGAGAACAACTCCCAGAATTCCCAGCTAATCTGATTAAGGGATTCAGAAAATAGTAATTCAAACAAGTAATATTTCTAAGCTTTGATCTAAAGCATCATGGCCTCTCCCAATTTGAAGAGACACTTGTACAGCAGGCCGAGTCAAAGAGGCAGTCCTGAAACAAGCAAAACCAGGGAGCTGGACAGGGGACAGATTGTATTTGTCTTCAGTGTGGAAGGGATGGTCACTCTCGAATTGGCCTTCTCAGCCACACTAGACGCTGTTCCAAGACCTTCATACAGAGCATGTTATGTGACCATAGTCTCTCGAGACTGAAGGATGTCTACTAATGATCTAAAGTATAAGACACAGTTGTATGCAGCTGACACATATTCCACATATCTAAGAGAGCCATTTTGTTTAAAAAACAGCCTCCTCAGCCCTCTTTGCCCTTGGCTGGGAGGACCTCCTCTTTATGATTGCTTGACACTGACAAACGACTCCCATCTTGCCTTTTCCAACCAACCACCAACACTTAATGCCCAGCAGCAAACAATTCGTCTTTTCCATTTTAAATTTCTGACCTCAATCCATCAAGAAGCCTGAGCATAAGTAATGACTCTATGGTTCTAAGCCAACTCAGAAGCCAACGGTACAGCAATGCTGGAATTGTGAGCAACTTGTCTAAACACAGCCCTAGCAACTGGGCTTGTCTAATTTCTGCCAGAGCATGGCTATGTATTAATTCCCCAACAACAACAACCTAGTGTTGCAAGCTATGTGTTTCCTTACCAGTCATCCTTGGAAGCTGAAAAGAGGCACAGCAAACACTTCCTTACAGAATAACCAATTCTAGGCACATTGCATTGAAGGCTCCCCTTGAAAATGCTCCAGCTTTAAATATTAACTTCTCCAGATTCTTGGTTCACCCAAAGTGCATCATCAGGTGAGCAGCTTTCTTATTAAGCATAACGGAAGAGAGGTATGCAAGCTTTAGGCCAATTAACTGGAAATAGCAACCAACTTAACATTTAATTTGAGATTCTCATGTAAAGTATGAGAAGAAAAACTCTAGGATCCATAAAACCTCATTGTCTTGCAAGAACAGAGGCTATACAGATATACCAGGTCCTTATCAGCAAAGCAGCTTTGAAAAAGATTACACTCTCCACCTCTTCAAAGTTTGTGTACAAGATTAGCAGAAGATTCATCTTTCAAGTTAATATGTTAGGCTTTATTTCTAACAGTAAATGTCACAGAATAAGTAAACTATACAAAGCTTTCTAAAACCTTGTCCAGTTCTGAGCATCCCCATTTAAGGAGGATATTGACAAGCTGGAACATGTCCAGAGGAGGGCAACCTGGATGGTAAAAGGTCTCAAAACCAAGCCCTGTGAGGAATGGTTGTGGGAGCTGGGTATGTTTAGATTAGAGAAGAGAACCCTGAGAGGAAATGTGATAGCCATTTTCAAATGTTTGAAGGGCTGCAATGCGGACGATGAAACGAGCTTTCTTTTCTGCAGCCTCCAAGAGCAGAACCCAAAGTAATGGGTTCTAATTGCAAGAAATGAGATTTTGCCTTAACATAAAAGGAAGATTTTTCTAAGAGCTGTTTGACAGTGAAATGGACTGCCTTGGAGGATGATAGAATCTCCTTAGTCAAGTTCTTTAAACACTGGTTAGACTGACACCTGTCAGGGATCATAGATTGATGGATACCTGTTTTGGCAGGGATTGGATTCAGTGATCCTTGGGGTCCCTTCCAGCTTTGCACTTGTACGGTTGGTATGATTGTAAGATGGGGCAATTATATTTCCTCCAAGGAGCTTAGGGTGCTACATACATGTTATGTTATGTGATATGTTATATGTTTACCGTATTTTTCGCTCCATAAGATGCACCTTTCCATAAGACGCACCAATTTTTAGGAGAAGAAAACAGGAAAATATAATCTGTTTTCTTCGCTCCATAAGACGCACAGACTTTCCACCCCCCTGTTTTGTGGGGAAAAAGTGTGTCTTAGGGAGCGAAAAATATGGTAATTGTTTTATAGTGTGTGTTGTAAGCCGCCTAGAGTGGTCACAATTGACTAGATAGGCGGGGTATAAATGAAATAAATAAATAAATGAAATAAATAAATAAATAATCCCTCTACTCCTCCACTTTGCCCTCCTAATAATTCTGTGAGGTCAGCTAAACTAAATGCAACTGCCCCCAAAATACCCAGAGAGCTCCACAAGTAAGTGAGAATTTAAATGTGGAGAGCTCCAGCCCGAGCCAGACACCTCTAACCATTGCTTGAGTGTGGCTTGCTTTGTTTTGTATTTGGTCTCTTCGGAACCTCTTTGTTGCCAGAAGACTCCCTGGATAGCTCAGGGAGTCAGGCAAGAGACTGGGATTTCAATTTCCCACTATGCTTCCTGAGAATAGAGCCAGCCTGTGTAGCCTTGGGAAAGCTGCACAGTCCTAGAGGGGCCCCCACAAGGAGGATATGGTAAACCACTTCAGAGTTCTCTCCCACCTAGAAAACCTTGAAATGGGTTGCCCTAAGTCAGAACTGATTTGAGGGCAAGCAATTTATTTGCTATGGGCTTCTACCTTGGGAACAACCAAGATCACTGAGCTCCACTAAGATGGCTCCCTCCTAACTCCCTGAAACCCCCCCTGACCTGCCTCCCAGACTATTCAGCTTTGTTTCTAGTTCAACTTTGCACGCCCTGTCCAAGTATCATCATTTCTCTCCAGGTCAAATGTACAAATAAGTGAAGACTCGTCCATTCTTGACCCAACTCTGAAACCAGAGCCAAGTTGCTTCCATAGATATTAAAGGACAGGAAAGAATATATGTAAAGAAGTTCTAGGCCATCTGCCCCTAAATCCGGTCTTAATCCTATCACTCCTGTTCTTGTTCATCAATGTGCTGGTTACACTGAGGAAGGTCTGGGTCCTGTCCCTTTGTCTTAAGACCTTTCTCGAATAGATTCCTTTCTATCCCTTGATATCTATAGATGCAATTAACTCAGCCTTTTCTTCTTTACTCAAGTATCCGCCAGAGACCTTCGTAAGGCTTGCTATGTGGTATCACATAAAGACTGAAATCTGTTTCCCAGGCAGGTCTGACAGGTCCTTCCTTTGAGCTCTGCTTGAGTGGTCCCCTCTTGCTCTTCTGCGAGGTTTAGACTACACAAGGAAGGAAATGAAAGTTGTCAGCTTCACTTTTACTACCTGTGTTGTCCAATCCCTACTGAGGATTTAATCCACCTTTAAGAACTGTTAAGAAGAAGGAGCTTCAGGAGGTGTGCTTTGTGTTAAAACATATTTGCTGAAATTCTGTCTTCTTCAAACTATTAAAGATGCAGGAATTTTGTCCTCTTTTGCATCTGGCCATCCTAAGAACATAAGTGTTGCAGCCCATCC